CACCCAAGCACCCACCCCCACACCCACACCCACGCCCACACCCATACCCACACCCACACCTACACACCCGACACCCACACCTACACACCCGACACCCACACCCACACCCTAGTTCAGTAAAGAATCTAGAATTCTGGACAATAATGGGAAAAGTACTTTTTGAAAAAGAATAATTATAGACAAGCGTTAATCCAACAGCTTTGTAGGACGTCCATATTTATTATGCAATATCGGGATTACATCATTATTCTAAGACTTGGCAATCAACTGAGGATTGCAGCTATCGAAATAACTAGATTGGTCACTACAACAGCCTAACCATTATAGGGAAAGTTTCCTATTTCATCAACACCTCTCTGTCGCTTTTATTATATCCCATCCATAACTACCGAAATGAAGCGTGCATTTGTCAGAAGAGAATGTGTAGTGACTGAGCGTCGACTCAATAGTCCTTTTATAATTTTTGATGCAGTTTTCTCAGTAACAAGCGCTTATCACTTTTCTCGAGAGATGTTTTTTATCTAGGGGAACCAGTTTTTCAAATTTGCCCTCGTTCTGCTTTCATGAAATAATCGGAAAGTCTTCTGCAGGACTCAAATTTAGACTGATAAGAGCTAAAATGTGATGTTCAGGTGGCGAGAGTGAATAATAACACTAATGTCTTACCACTTTGTCGAAGACTTTCATCATTTTGAAGTGGATTTTCCTGTTGTTCTTTCATAGGATTGGTAAATTGATCATACTCGGCACTTGCATCGACGTTACCACCTGTTGCCATTGATATCGACTTTTGATAACTTGGACAGTTTAACTCAAAATAAATTTGACAGCAGATAGGCAGTTTCGAGCAAAGTCTAAAAATACAACCGAAACGAGCGTTTTCTCTTCGATAGAAGCAGATTTGTAGAACTGATTCAGCAGCTAACATTCTTCTTACGGGATCCACCTGCACAGTCTGTTTTCTCTCGTCTTATTTCTTGTTTCTTTTTCCTCGATATGATATCATTCTTCCTTCTTGCATGATCATTCCAGTTTTTCGATGTGATATCATCCAATTACACATCGTCATCATTTGTTGTGCTACGTTTTCCCTTCCATTAACCCTGAATATATGTGATAGTAAGTATGTCGTATTGAAGTAAAACTGGTCCATGAAGTTATAACTTCGACGATGGCCGTCATTGAAGTTAGTTTTATTTCATTAATCAATAAATAATTTTCTAAAATCAAATATCGTATTGCTGAATATATGATAAAATTTTTTTTGCTAATAAATACTATTTATTCAACTATAAAAATTATGCATAAACTACGAGAAAAAAATAAGTATCCCGTTAATGTTTTTTTATTTTTCTTTAGAGTTATTCCCGATAAATGTGAAGATAGATCGAGTTCTAACGTTTCAAAAACTAGTTTAATGTAAAAGACTATACATGAATAAATATTAAAAAAAGATCTGACGGAAGCGGGATATTCCCTCTTTAGCTAATAAATAAAATCGAGCGGCTGAAAAGTTTTCTATGCAAAAAATGTACATATTTTGTATGTCATTAAGTCTAAGGTATACACTAGGAATACAAAAAATGATCCAAAAAAAAATTTTTAGGAGTTAAACTGTTCTCTCTTTGGCCTCGACTTCTTTCTTTTCATCCTCTCTTATTCTACTCATATATATGTATATATGTATGCACGTATGTTTTAAAACGTAAATAAACTAGACGATTGTATAATATGAAGGAATAGAAAAAAGTGTAATATAATCAACACTAACATCACTTGTATTAGCAATAGTCACAAGACAATTAGATGACGTGATGGGATGAAAGAAAGTGTAACACTATCTCACACTAATATACTTTCTATCGTCAATTTTTCGTCACAATAACAGGCTTCAAAAAACATAGTCACACTACCAATATCTCAACATCTATTTCAATATATTAAAAAATTAAGGTCAACACTAGAAGGTATAGTGAATAATAAAGTCAATGTTATTACAGAACTCTACAATTTAAGTATTGATCAACGTGAAAGACTAGCAAGTTTGGATATTCAAGACGTATATACGAGTATACCTGTGACAAAAGCTGTTGATATTACTAAGCCAATAGACACATTATCTTATGTGATATTTTTTTCTTTCTCATTGTGCTCTTGTAAAATCAATGATATTATAGTATTCATAATCACGTTACTCTTACGTTTATGCATGCATGATTGAACCCTATTCTCTTCCTGTCGTAATGCGCTTCTCATTCTATATCGCTATTCACCCGTATATTTTATGTATTGTTCTTATGTAAAGGTTCTTACTCTACTGTTCTTCTATATCTGTTCTCTCCTTGGCTTCATCGTCTCTTATTCTAATCATGTATATCAACGTATGCTTTATATGTAAACGATATGATTATATGATATGAAGGAATAGAATAAAGTATAATATCATCAATATTAACATCACTTCTATCATCAATCGTCAAAGGATGATTAAATCATATGAAGAGATAAAATAAAGTTTTTCATCATTTCTCACGCTAATGCGCCTTCTACCATCATTTTTTTCGTTATAGTTACACTTGCCGAACTTGATACAAAGAATATGTTAAAAAAAATATTGCTCACCAAAACTGACACTAAAGATTTATTATGTATTTTACCAAGAAATAGTTATTTTCAATTCAATGAAAAATATTAAGGCAAAAGAAAGATTTACCAATGGGTAGCATACTATCACCAATTTTAGCAGATATCAATATGGATCATTATTTAACAGAACATTTACATCAAATCCATAAAGTAAACTTTGGCGATACGTCGATGATATGTTAATGACTACAACAGCGAATGAACATGAATAAAAACATTATGTCAATGAATTAAATAGTATTCGTGGATCAACACGTTTGATGTGTGAACATGAACAAGATAATAAGAAGAAACATCTTCTGATCATTCATTACAGTAAGAATCATGCCATGGAAAATTGATCAAAGCAAACATAATGAAAATCATGTCCACAACAATAATATACCCTAAAGATGATCCTCAAGAACAAAAAGAAAATTTATTAAAATTGAAAGAAATGTTATTAAATTCTCATTATGCGCCAGGGGTAATTGAAAGACCAATTAAACAAGCTCGTGAAAACATTAATCCAAATTTGAATATTAATAATACAACAAACCATAACAATATTAATCGAAACATGAAATATAACTTATGCTTACCTCATGTTCCAAGATCAGAAGTATTAAAAAAGAACATTAGAAACGAAACTAACTACTAAACTTTATTTTTTTCTATCCAAATAAATTACAATAATATTTCAATAAATCAATGAAAATACCATCAATCAATTGCTGATGGTCATGATGAAACATTAGGAATGATAAAACATCATCATGGTATGAAATAACAATGTTTATCTGATGTTGATGAACCATTTATTATAGAAGAAGAAAATGATTACTTGAAAAAGAAAAATTCAACAAACAATTTATTCAAGAATTAACCCATCTATCAATGAACACGATGAATTAAATGAAACTCGAAACCCATTGGTTTATAAAGCTAAACTAAACATTAAAAGAAAACTCAAATTTAATAAAGAAGCGTTTAACAAACTCAAGAGAATCGAAACATAAGAAAACACGACGGTGAGAATAATACAGAAAAGGTCATAAGCTACCCAATCATTACTATTACGGTCTTGCTTTCCGTATCACTATTATTTTAGTTTGAATATTCATTCTCTTCTGTCTCTCCGGTTATTTTTGTGAAACACGACATGAAAGGAGTGTTGAAGCGTTTAGGGGTAGCAATTAGTATCCCCCTGTGACGGCAACACTGTCACCAATCTTATTATATTGTTGTTTATTGTGTATGTATATTTGTTTGTTCCATCTCTATGATTTCAATTTTTCTATTTTCCGCGCAATATTATTATTATATTGACATATTCTTCCCTTCTTGTCCTATTCCTGTTCTCTTTTTTTGTTGTATTGATTTGCCTACCTATTAAACTATTCTGACACCTGGAATATTTAATAGTTACGTCTCTCTAAAATCTAGCGACGTAGTGTGTGGGTGTAGGCATCTTCTCTCACGTTCATATCCACACCCACACCCTGATTTAAATCTCACGTATTTATCTTATTTATACTTGTACGTTCATATTTATGTGCCTATTTTTTTTATTAGAAAATCGATTACTTTATTATATAATTAATATTGTAGCTATAAAAATTATATAAAATATAGGTCTTAACCAAAATATGTTTGATTATATTCGTCTTGTGTCCATTGAGCAATTGGAGTTTCACACATAATACAATTTGGTCGTCCATTTGTAGTTATTGGTAATTTGTTAAAACAAGGTTCACAAACAAGTTTGTGCTTACACGGTTGAAAACGACATCTTCTAAGATTGTCTTCGCATATGATGCAGTGTTTTTCTTTCAAAATTTTCAAACATTCTTCCAAATTGACTTTGATTTCGATAGTACTTGGTCGCTCTTCGGGTTTCTCTTTCAAACATGATAGAATGAGTTCCTCATAAAGACTATTGTCTGGGTTCAAAGGGATTTTCTTTAATGACTCATAGATGGTATTCATACTATCAGGACGGTTATAATGCTTCTTTGGTAATATTTCATAAAGAAATACGCCAAAAGAATAAATATCTGCTGCTATACCATTGTAAAGAGAACCAGAATTGACTACTTCTGGTGCCAATGGAAAAGTTCCAACTACTGTTGAATTCATTATCGATTGATTTCCAGTGCCAAAATCAGTTAAATAACATTCTAGATTTCTTTCATATATCAACACATTTTTAGCTTTTATATCACGGTGCACAATATCGTTTGTATGTAATAGAATCAATGCATCAATAATATCGTTGGCAATTTTGAGTACACACTTAGGCTTAATCGTACTAATATTATCTTGTAAGTATTCTTCTAAACTTTTATCGTATCTTGGCATAAAAATCCATAAATAATGCATATTGCCTTCTGAATATTGATCAAATAAATACAGCAGGGGTACAATATGTGGCGTCCTTGTTTTTCGCAATTCAGCAGTCTCTTGTAGCGAATCATTTAAACGAAATCGTGTCACTTTACGATGATAGTGAGCTTCCAAATATTGTAAATAAGAATAATTCTTAATTGATGAAGATTTTAATTTTTTAATAGCTAAGTTCTTTTCTGTTGACCATTCACCTGGATAAACAACAAAATGGGTGCCATGTCCTAATTCCAAAGATTCATCAATGATCGGTAGTTTACCATTGAATTTTGCTAAGTCTTGAAGTGCAACTAATTTACATTCAATTTCAGCAAACTTTTTAAAATACTTATGAGCAGCTTTGTAAGCATTTTCTCTATTTTCTAAACGCGATAAAACAAATTTGTAATTGTTTTGTATATTTTTATAAAAAACTTCTTTTTTATCTTTAATCCATTGTTGTAAATTTTGACCGTACAAATCTTTCTGTGCTTCTATTGTTTTTCGTTTTCTCTTCAAATATTCCTCAGCAAAGTCACGTCGTTTTGATTCATCAATCAAACTAGAAAATGAATCTAACGTATCCATCATATCATATTTATCCTCATGTGGTAGTGTACTTTTATTCCAATATTCTTTAAATGGCAATAATCTAAAACCACGTATTAAACGCATCATAGCTGATGGTGCGAACGATAACTGATACACAATATTTGATAACCAATTACGTTGAGTAAGATTTTCAGACGATGTATTCATTAAGACTTGTTGTTGTGCTGTTATTAATAATTCATTTCTTTCAGTGTTAACTAAAATTTCATCTTCGACCACCGTTTTAAAATGAGCTTTAGTTTGATTGATTATTTCGTTGACCGCAACTTTGATTACTTCTTCTTGTAAGACGACTCGGATAAAATCTTTAATATTCTTTGTTACAATATCTTTTGTTTTCTTCTGTAAAGGGTCATCGTATCGATCTAATTTAATAGCTCGTTCAATAATATTTGTTGTATGCTTGTCGAGATGTGCAAGAATATTTTTATTAATGCGTTCCATTATGTTCGATAATTCCTTTTGAAACTTTTCGAAAAACTGCTCCCCCCATTTTTGTGCATTTGAATGAATTCTATTCCATTGTTCTTTTGTTCGACAACTAGCTGACGTCGTAAAGTCAAAGAAATTATCTATTGCAGCTAAAATGGAATCGGCTATTGCATATGCAGAATCCATTTCTTTCTTCATCGCATATTCAACGATACGTTGGCAAGCTTGTGCAGTCATATCTGCAGCACAGTTAGATAATAACGAACGTCCAACTATACTTGAAATATCGAAGTTATCACATAATTGATTGAATTCTACAATTGATATATTATTTTCAATCAATAGTAAATTATTTGCTATTCCAACAGCTGAATATAATAGTTGATAACGTTTTAAGCGCTCGTGCGGCAGAATTTCTTCATATTTTGCCATTGTAAATTCTTTGGTTTGTTGTGAACTAATACCAGTACCAGTGAATAACGTTGTTATATCTTGCTTCGTATTTAAATAAAATATAGATGGTTGTTCAAGGTCACCTAATACATCTCGTAGCATTAAATAACACTCATTAGCATCTTTAGCAAACGCTGCATTTGAATACAAGAATACAGTAGTAGGGCATATATGTTGAACTAGTTCTTGTACATTTGCTTTTAATATTGGATGATCATGAAATAATAAGCCAGGGGTATCATAAACATCAATGTTCAGTTCGAGCGTTGACGATGGTATCCGTATCTCAATATATCTTTTTGCCCAATCAATAAATTCATCCTCATTTATATCTTTAGGTCGAGCAACATATTCTTTTATAGCTGCCTCAATTCCTTTCCAGTCTGTTTGGGAGTTATTAAAATATGACGCTAAAGATATATTCTTTTCTTCTTGATGATTGCCGATATATGCTTGTTGAATAGATGGATAGACGATTATACATGCGTTTGATGGTGAAGCATAGGTAAACTTCACTATTCGGGCAGTTACAGGGCCAACACCACTAGGTAGAATGCTTTTTATTTTAAGAAATGAATGTAAAAACGTGGTTTTACCACTGGAATTTGGACCACAAAGTACTAGTTGAATGCGTTCAAAACCGGGAGTATTGTTTAAAAATTTAAAATCTAATGAACCCATTGATTGAAGATATGGTTCGTCTGTCGAATTATTTGAAGGCAACTTTGGTAAAGTATCTTGAAAGTCTAAATACAAATCCAGAAAATCATTTGCTAGTCCCTTAATTGATTGTTGAATATGACGATTGAAATCTATTTGCTGTTTCAAAGAATTTGAATCTTTTTCAAGTGATTTATTCGTCACTGTTGTTATTGATGATGCCATACAATCTATAATAACAATAATATAGAACAATATTTCATTGGTAAAAAATATTATTTCATAAAAAAACTCATCATTGAATACTTATGAAAATCTGAAATTTAATTTTTTCAAATATCATTATAAAAAAGGAAACATAAAAATGAATTTCGTCTCAAATTTAAATCAAAGCCAACTAACAAAAACACAATAAAGTTTAAAATTGATAATTGCAGGTGAATGAAAAGATCTATCGGATTGACTATTATAAATCACTTCGTTAGCATTAAATCATTGATCTTGCGTACAACATTGGATATTTTAGGTCGATTGAGTGGATCTTCGTTTGAACAATCTTCTAGTAAAGTTTTCAATGGTTTAAATGCTTTCAAATCATCTTCATTGTGATTGACTTTCGATTTTTCGTAAAGAAATAAGCCAAGCTGACCAAGAGAATAAATATCATCGGTTGCTGCTGTGAGAGTCTTGTTAATTGAATGTCGATGAACAAAATCAAGAAGTGTATCATATGTTTGTTTCAAATAAAAATCACCTAGTAAATATTTTTCACCTTCTTTGCAAAAAATATTTTTGACATCAATGTTTCCATGTACAAGTTCATTAGCATGCATTTTTTCAAGACAAATAGCAACTGTAAAGATAATTTTAAAAATATTTTTTATTGCTAGTGATTCAATACTCTTTTCGATGCATTCATATTTTGGAAAGATCATCCATAATTCGTTTTCTTCGTGTTCATAAAGATATGATAAGGAGAGAAAACATGAACTATTTAACTGTGTTACTTTTCGGTGATAATGCGATTCTAAATATTGTAAATTAGAGATACATGTTTTGAATTTTTTAACAATTAAATCTTTTTTATCGAGCCATTCAGCTGAATAAAATTCACAATAATTATTGTTTTCATCGAAAATGATTGGTTCTGTAGTATTTAGTTTCGGAATATGTCCATTGAAATTCTTTAAATTATGTGCAACTATTAATTTACATTCAACACATGCAAAATGTTCAGCATATTGATTTGCTAAATCGTAAGCTCGTTCTCGTTGTGGTATAAATTTTTTTGCTATTTGACATTGTTGCTCAATTTTTTGTCTCAATTCATTCTTCTTTACTTCTAATAGTTCCTCAATTATTTGATTGAAGAGATTCTTTTGACTTATTAATCCTGCCCTTATATTGTTTAAATATTGCTGAGCTATATCTTTTGGATCCATCTGTTTAGACCAATTGGTTTTTTTGATTACACATTGTCTTAATCTGGTTTTTAATTGATTTGGTTGTGACTTTTTCTGTTTCGGTTTTGGTTGATCATCTTCTTCATCTGTTTCGATTAGTATATCACCAATTAAGATGAAAGACGTCAACAGAGTATCGAAAAGAAACAATTGACAAGTAGTTTCATCGTCAGTATCGAGCAACTGTGTAAAAACACTTTGTTGAGTAGAAACTAAAAATTCATTTGTATCCGCATTATTCAAAAGCGATTCATCTAGTACAACTCTCAGTAATGATTTACACGCATAAAATTTTACAAATTCGTCGACATCATCACGAATAATTTCATATTGTACTAAAGTTCTAATGTATTTTTCGATGCTTTCGACATTTCCTTTGTCTGCTGCTCGTCGTACTATACTATCCAATTTTTCATTTAATTTTCTAATAATAACATCATATAATTCTCTCAAAGCTTGATCTATGTAGTTTTGATGTTCAAGAAAATAATTTTCGACCCATTGAAGAGCATTTGAATGTAGTTCTTTAAGTCTATCATGCGTTCTATGATTTGCTACAAAGGCGAATTCAAAAAACGAATCTATGATAGGCTGAATTAGCTTAGTGATATTTTTCGCTACAATTAAGTCAGCATTAGCAACAAATTGTATAAGATGATTAACGGTTAAGTGATTCATTTTCGCTCCTAATAGATCCCATTCTGATTCTACAGCAATAATATCGAACTCACTACCAGCATTTATCTCTTGAGCCATACTAGGCACTTTCAATAGAAGTTCCTTGCGTTCTGTCCGCGCTTCGACTAACTTTGTTGTTTCAAATTCTTCTTCAGTAATCTCCATGTCGTCAGGAATTATTGAACCAATGTCAACTTTAGTATTTAAAAAAAATATGCTGACATCGTCCAATTGTTTGCCAAGTGCCTCTTTTAAAGCTAAAAAGCAGTCTTGTGTATCAATCGAAACTGCAGAATTTTCATACATAAAAACAACAGTTGGTCGAATAAGTGTAACTAGATTGTGTAAGTTTCGTTTTAAGATTGGTGGATCCGAATAAAGTAAACCTGGTGTATCATATAAATCGATTCCTAATTTGAGAAAATCCGATGGTATGCAAATTTCAACAAACTTTTTTGCCCATTCTTGGAACGCAGTTGATTCTACGCTCTTTCTTTCTGGATCCGGTCGTTCGACGTGTAATTTTATTTTCAATTTCACTGCATTCCAGTCCGGCTCAGATTCCGTGAAACAATCCTTCAAACTAATATGTTCGCAAGGATTTTCACCTCGTTTATTTATCGATTCATATACGTTCAAACATGCTTCTTCATCAGTCGCGTAAGTTAGACGAATAATACGTGCACTAATTGATCCAACGTCCGAAGGAAGAATTGGACTGGATCGCAAAAGTAAATGGATTAATGATGTTTTCCCACAAGAGTTTTCACCGACCAGTGCCAACTGCACTCTATCAGCAGTAATCTGTTCGCTTAGTGAACGAATTTTCAATGTGTCAATCAGTGGTTTTGATTTCTGTTCGACTGTTGGATCGAATTTTTCATTTACTAAGTTTTGTAATAGATCATTTTGCAATGACAAGAAATTATTCGTCGCTCGTTGTACTATCTGACGTATTCGATGATTATTATGAATAATCCGTGATAATTCTGCATAATCCATCCTTATATTTCTTCACGTAGTGTGCTCCTAAAGATAAATACAGGGTGGCCCAAAAGTCACTTTACCGAAAAAAAATGGAATATATCCGTTACGATTCCACCAAATGAACTGATATTTTTACCAGCAACAGAGGCATGTTCACACTCTATATCCATACGGACAAGATTAGAGACAACCTTTGATAAGTACTATTATTGATCTCAACAAGAAAAATTTACTTTTCCAGAGTTAGAAAAAAAGTCACTTTGTCAAAAAAAATCGAATATCTCCATTACGGCTCGAGCTAGCGAGCTGATTCTTTTATCAGTGATAGAGGCATGTTCAAGCTTTATGTTCATCAAGACATGCTTAGAGAGATCCTTTGTTAAGTATATTATTTTCTATCGCATCTGCGAAAAAGCAAGGTTATTTCGTTGAGATCATCAGTGGTACTTTATAAAAGTGCTCTCTATTCTTGTCCGTATGGATTCAAAGTGTGAGCACGCTTCTATTATTGGTAAAAAACTCAGCCCGTTTCCTCGAACCGCAGCGGAGATATTCAATTTTTTCTTGGCAACGTGACTTTCGGGCCATATACAGGGTGACACGAAAGTCAGTTTACCAAAATAATAATTGAAAATCTCTATTACGGATCGAGCAAACAAGTTGATTTTTTGACCAATTATAGAGGCATGTTCAAGCTTCATATCCATAACGACATGCCTAGAGAAAACTTCTGTTAAGTATATATATTTTTTTTCTATCTGTGAAAAGGTAAATTTTTCTTGTTGAGATCAATAATAGTACTTATCAAAGGTTCTCTCTAATCTTGTCCGTATCGATATAGAGTGTGAACATGCCTCTGTTGCTGGTAAAAATGTCAGTTCATTTGGTGGAATCGTAACGGATATATTCCATTTTTTTTCGGTAAAGTGACTTTTGGGCCACCCTGTATTAAAGTATAGACTTAGAAAGACATTAAATGAAACAAGCACTTGTTATATAATCTCTTCACGTTTAGGGATGGGAAGTTATCGTTACCCGTTATCAGTTACCGGGTAACGGGGTAATGGGGCACATAAGAGCAGGTGGCCCTTTCGGTCCTCAAGGGCAACTATAGGGAGGTACCAGTGATGGGCACGGTTCGGTTGGGCACTTTTCCAACCGATCTCGGTTTCGGTTCGGTTCGGTTCGGTTTTTCACTTAATTGGTTTCGGTTCTTATTCAAACTGATACAGTTTAGAAAATTTTTTGAATATTGTGTTTTTGTTGTTTATTTCCGTGGAAAGTTTCGAGGTTTTTAAGATAAGTGTATATGAATGTAAAGCAGATAAAATAAACCATCAAAAGATTCTTCAGTAGCAACGAATGCATTTATAGATTCCCTACAGTCTTTCTTTATTCGTCTACGGATGACAGAATTTAAACAAGTGTTTATTTTGTTAATGTGTTAAAACAGTTAATGATTTTTAGTGGTGATCCCGCACATCGAATTTGATGTAAAATGAATATTTCTTCCATATTAAACATGCGTGATGTTATTAATCTTGATACTTCACCACATTCCAAAGATATTCAACTAACCACTTTCCCTTTTATTTTATCTGATTTATCAAATGTGCCTTGATCTTTTCCACATTTTTTTCAGCAGAAAATATTCTTTCGAATTTAAAGTTTTTGCAGATTTATAATAAATCTCCCTCCCCCACAAAATAGAATCCCACTGGGCTTCTATTATGTTTGGAAAATCATAAGTTTGAGGGTGGTCTTCTATTGCGATCCATTTTTTCGCCGTGTACGGTAAAATTTGAAATATCGTTTTCAATGAAAATCGCACTAAGATTATAGGAAATGTATTAAAGTTCTATGCAACTGTATATATGTAGCGGTGTTGCGATTGCTAGAACCTGGGGAGGGGGTCAACTACTGTTTAAAAAATTTCTTAGAAATTTTCATAAACTGGAAATTTTCAAAGAATTTCTCAATACGCTTTTTAAGTTTCTTCAGGTTTCCCCTAAAAAAATTCACTTTTCATCAGAATCACTGAAATTGAGATAAGCATATAGGGAGATAGCCTGTCATTTGGTCTTTCATAGACGATAAAATTTTTCTTCGGTACCTCCTTTTTTTCCGAAAAATGTTCAAGATTTTCGACAGCCCCTGTCCGAAAAATCAACAGTTTTTTAAAAAATTCAAAATTTTTTTCTTTTTTTCTCACAGTTGTAGTCGAACGACGCATCTCCACGAAAAGTCAACTATAATGCGATACAAACTCAAATACTTTTTTTTGTTTGAAAGAGCATCAAAAACTGCACTGCCTATAAGAGCCCTTTTTGTGTACTCAAAAAGTGAGTACACTCTAGAATCGGTCAGTATGTCCGGCCGGCCGTTTACACGATAACTTTCGAAAGGAGACTCCGATCACGATGAAATTTTCTACACAGTTCAGTCTTTACAATATCTCGGTCGAGTTCGAAGATGAGAAGGATCGGCCGAGCCATTCCTGAGTTATTGC